CTTCTCCATGACGAGTATACTCGTCCTGACACAAAATACTGCAACTTCTCCATGACGAGTATACTCGTCATGACACAAAATACTGCAACTTCTCCATGACGAGTATACTCGTCATGACACAAAATATTGAAGCTTCTCCATGATAAGTATACTCGTCACGATACAAAATACTGCAACTTCTCCATGACGAGTACACTCGTCAATCACAGTTAAGTGGTTAAGATATCACACGGAAATTTTAAAAAGTAATTTTAGAAAAAAGGAAGAAGGTAAAAGAAGAAAAAAAATCCGGATATTACAGATCTACAAAAACAAATCTAGTCTTTTTTTTAATGCGATTTCATAACTTAGGTTCGATCTCGTAACAGAATTTATGTGACTGGGATACAGAAATGACCATGACCGAAAGCCTGTCTCCGGCGATGTTTCCCGCAAATTACGATTTCAAAAGAATGTTTCATGTAGAGGGATCGACGCACGCGCGTTAAACTTCTTAATGTTAACAAGATTAATTCAAACCAAAATATAATAAATATAACTCTTTATTGTTTTAAATAAAGAAACGTAACTATTACGAAAAGTAATCTAAAGTAACCCGTTATCTTTTATTCGTACACATATGGATTTAGATAGTAGCGTAAAGGAGAATATCAGAGCTCTTCTTCAAAGTCAGGTCTACGGCCTCAGGCCTGATCTTAGAAAGGATTGCAAAAGCATAACATCAGTTTTTGCCCCCCTTCCCTAAAATCATAGGCACCCAATGATGGGGAGGGTGTACATTACGCCACTGGATTTAGAATTAGAATCAGCAAGCTATTTTCAAAGAAAAACGCAATCCAAAAAAAATGGATTTTCCCTTCACATTTCTATTTTTATATTTTTCTATGCCACCACATCTAAATTTAAGTATTTTTTTATCTTTTTTTTTTCAAGTATCAATTTCACACTTATAATTTTAAGGAAAGTAAAGGGCAAATTCACATCATTTTTAGGTAGAAATACATTTCAAAAAACTAAATAATATAGTTAGAAGTAGGTATAGTTCTCTTACATAGGAAATAAAAATTTTAAAGCTAGAAATATATCATCAGAATAGAAGCAAATAAAATTAGTGCATTAAAAAATGTTCAAAGTCTCAATAAATATGCTTTCACACTTTTCAAGGTGAAAGAAGAAGGTTTTCAATGAAATTTGAGAACAATTACATGTTCTGTTAAGTGCATATTTATAAAAACTATAACATCAATATATACAGTTAAACAGTTCAGTGAAAGATAATTCGTGTCCGACATTTGATTGTTGTCGTATATTTCACGCCCTGGAGGAAAAATTCGTTGCATCAATGACATATGCATTCAAGCACCCGAATGAGTTCACGTAAATGTTACGAACTATTCAAAAATCAGGATTCCGACAATGCCTGTGAAAAATTTATGTTTTTAATTTTTTTTTCAGAATAAAAGCTTTATTCAAAGCATCTAAAACGTTCACAGATTAGCATTGCTTGTGCATAGCTAACAGAAAATGTTAAATAAACCGTTTTCCTTAAACTACGTTATTTCAGATATCAGTGTATCCGCTTATAAGCTGTGCATAAAAACGTTCAGGAAACGAATTTCTAACTCATTCTAAGTAACATGCTTAGCAAATAGCACAACATTTATTTAGGAAAGCAAATCTGAGATTTTTTGCGAATAAAAAAAAACTAGCCGTTATACATCCGCTTCTCTGAATAATGTTATGTGATGTTGTGTGTTATAAATATACATATATAATATACTTAGCTTGTGATGTTGTATAAGTACATACTGTTTATATATGTATAAATTATTGATATATCTAAGTCCTAGCATTAAGAATTCGATTGTATTGAAAAATATATTTATAACTGTAACTCTCACTTCTTGATATAAAAATGACATAACTTCTAATTAATATTTTCTAATAACATCTAAAATAGTAGTAGAATGCTTTTTGCACTCTCGTGACCCAATAACCAAGTGGATTTTCGCTAAACCAATTTTCAGTGGATCCCTGCTCCGTAAAATAAACATGCGTGTCAAATATCAAGTCTAAATCTAAAGAGCATAAACGGAATTCTTACTATCGATCCACCCGCGTAATCCAGTTGAGAGTCGATTTCCAGAAGAACCGTTCTTAGCGGACTTCTATTCAACAAAATAAAAATGCAAACGAAATTCCATTATTATAGTCCGTGTAGCTCAAAAACGGGAAATTTTTTTTCTCAACACGCTCCAGTAACCCCCTGCTCCTCAGAAAATGATTTCCGTCAAATATATATATACATTTTTAGTGTGTCTCTAATCAACACAAGAAACATGCTTAACAAATTTCAAATACGTGGCTCTAACAATTTTAAAAAAGGGATTTTTTCCATTACTCCCCTTGACCCTTCGCAAAACCCCTTGCGGGTCGATTTTCGTATAACTCTTTGTTAGAGGAACTCTATTCAATGAAAGGAACATGCCTACTAATTTTCAAGCAGATAGGTCTAAAACTTTAAAAACGGAAATATATATATCCATAATACCCCTTGAAACCACTCAACGCCACTTGAGAGTATATTTTCACAAAACCCATTTTGTAGAGGGTCTCTACTCCGAAAGGAATCTGCCTACCACATTTCAAGACTGGGTGTCTGATAATTTAAAAATGGAAATGATTACCTATATCACTCCCTAAGCCCCTGCAACGCCACATGTGAGGCTTATTTTAACAAAATCCATTATTGTAGCTGATCTCTACTCTATAAAAGGAATCTGCTTGCCAAATTTCAAGATTGTAAGTATGATAGTTTAAAAATGGGAATAATTATCTATAACGCTCTTAATCCCCCTCAATGCCACCTGGGTTTGAATTTCTCAAAACCAATTTTGTAGCGGATCTCTACTCCAAGAAAGGAATCTGCTTATCAAATATCAAGACTGTACGTCTAAAAATTTATAAATGAAAGTAATTATTTATATCGCTCCTTTATTTCCCGTAACGCCCATTGGGTTTTGAATTTCGCAAATTCCGTTCTTAGCGGATCTCTACTCTATGAAAGGAATATGCCTATAAAATTTCAAGTGTATGGGTTGAATAGTTCTGGAGATATCTGATCAGTAAGTGAGAGATTGAGTGAGTGCGTCACTTTTCTCCTTTATATATATAGATATACCTGGAAAAAAAATACCGTTTTTATTTCAATCTAAGCCACCATTAATTCTACGCCATACGTCAAGCTCTCTACACGTTTTTGTGAAAAAATAAAAAAAAGTAGTGTAAGTTTGTTTATCAGGTATTTACAAAATTTTAAAAAAGTAATATAAGAACTAATTGAAGTAAATAAATAATTTATTTTACCAGCATTTAAAACTTTTAATTTTTTACATAAATCTGTAATTGCTCTAACCATGAGTATCATGTTTAATTCCCCCTCCCTCTATTGAATTTTTCCTACTTATGTTATAAGCCACACTCGATTTTCAGTAGCATTAAAATTGAAAAAAAAGGGTGGCTTGGATTCTAATAAATACGGTAAACAAGTTTAGAGCAACTCTGTTAGTACTACGAACTACAATATTTTCAAACCCTAAATAATCTTTCATTAAATCCTTTAGATTTATTATAGAATTATTAGTTAAAATATTTTAATTAATGAAGTATTTAAGCTCTGTAGTCTTATTCAGTGGTATACCAGATTTTAAAAGTACAAAATAATAGAGATAATTTACTGAGCGTGAGTAACAAAACAGCTTGTTTTAATAAACCATGATCTTTATTCGATGTTTTTGGCAAATAGGTTTAAAAGTTTCTTTTTGAGTATTTTTTCTGTGTATTATGGATTAATGTGGATTTAATTCCAAAGTAACATTAGATAAAAATTCATTTAAAAAAATTATTAAATTCTATTTAAATCTGTATATAAATTCGAAAAAAATATAATGCAATTTGGTTCCATAACAATGAAATGAATTTATTCTTATCCGTTATAGCCATTTTTCCATAAAAAAAAGAACCTCATTTAAATAACTCTATAACTTCTCAAGAAAATGGACTGGAAGCAAATGTGGAGTGATGTAACAATTTATGAGAACATTCAAGAAAGACGAATTGAATGGAAAATTTAAAACGTACTTTGAAATTTCCACGTCATTTAAAAAATGGAATCACTTAAGAAGATAAAGATTCAAAAGTTATTATTACAGAACTATAAGTAAGAGAACAATGTGTTTCGTATTCCAATCACAAAAGTGATTTCACTGAAAAATAAGGAGTTGAAAGGAAATAAATTTAAATTTAAAAAATATCAATGCTTTTAAAATTATTCTTTATAGCTTATTTAGAAATAATTTCCTTTATTTCCTTTTATTGATTGATAAAAAAACTCTATTCAAGAAAAAATTTTCTGTAAATTATGTTTTAATTTTAAAATATTATGTTATTTATTTTCTGAAGACCGATAAAAATGTATACGCTCAATAAAAAAAATACTCTTTAGATATTGATAAAAAATTATGTGTTTCACTACAAAAATTTGTTCTTGTACTTTCAGCAACAGCAGATTGGTTTATGCATTTTAGATGTTTTTTTTCCCATAAATTAATGCTCTCGAAAATGAAGAATATTGAACTCACAATATTTGGAATGTCATAATGTGTGATAGGCACAATATCCTTTTAAAACACACATTCGAATTTTTTAAGTCAGGGTAATACAGAAATGGTGAGTCAGATGTTTGATTCTAAAATCAATCACATGATTTCGTTGGAACTCACAATCACGTGACACAGTTGTTGTCACGTGCTTCATACTGGAATACATATGAAAGACGAGAGTAGATGAACAGAAACATGCAATACAAACAAAGAAGAATGTAGACTTTTTTATTACAAACAATGTTCCCAGCATAGAACAGAAGGGGTAAACTGCTTTCCATTCGAGACGGGAATCCATTTCAGGCGTAGGTCTGACTTCTTTTCCCGAAGATACATCCAAGCCTTATTCGGGATTTGAACCCAAGCCCACTCGATTACAAACTGAGCGTCATAACCACTATACTAGATGAGGCGGCACGTGACACAATTGTTGCACTATTAAAGAAACTTCAAATTGAGATTAAATTAACTGTAAAAAAATCAAAATATTCAATAATTAAGACGTTAATTTGGTTACGCAGTGAAACTTGGATTTAAAAAAACTTAAGCTTGTTGTTGCGTTAAGTTTGATTTGTCAACATTATAAAGTACTAACTTAACATTAAGCTTTCAATCGTATTCATAAACATTTATACAGTCCTTGATTTAAAAAGAACATGACGAATTTCTGAAAAAAGAATATTCCGTAAAATCTGGCGTATAGTGCACACCTATACTTCCCAGGTAAATTTTTTAAATTTTAGGTATATTACCAGTATAACGTGCACTCCTCTTTTTACGAAAAGACACCTAAAATATATATGTGCAATCCTTTTATGTTTATAGTCATTTATTCCAGGTATTACGCAAGGCTTTTAAAAAAATTGTTAGTTACACCCTAGTTTCAATCCTTTAACCCGTTCAGGACCGGACAATTTTTCCTGTTAAGTCTAACTCAACGCAAAATAAAGTGCTATAAAATCATTACTGTAATAAAATATGCCAAATATATAAGTTTATAATCATTCAAAATTCTATAAATTCAAAATCAGATCACACCAGTGTAATGACGGGAATCAGAACAGGGAAAACGCATTCTCACATACTCTTTGCTTGGTTCCATACCTCCTTATATGCATACACATGCCTGTACCAGTTTTTTGGCACTTTAATGTACACTGCTGGCCACCGTAAATGCAACACCAAGAAAGACAAGAGATAGCACAACAAAATTTATTTTGTAGATAACATGTTGACCAAGTATCAAATGGTTAAGTTTATAGACTTCTATGAAGTGTAGTTCCTGCCAGAATCAGTAGCCACCATTGTTGGAGATCACCGCGGCCACACGCCTCGGCATTGACTCAAAGAGACTTAGGATGTGTTCTTGGAGTACATCAGACCAAGCAGCTTCCACACGTTGCCAAAGTTGATCTGTTGCGGCAGCTGGGGGTGTAATCTGGGTCAATCGTTGAGCAACCATGGGGCACATATTTTCTATCGGTGACAGATCCGGAGCGCGAGTCAGCCAGGGAAGAAATTCAATCTGGTGATTGACTAAGAACCTTTGGACAATGCGTGCCATGTGTGGTCGTGCATTATCCTGTTGAAATATGGCTGTAGCCAAGCCCTGAAGGTAAGGAAGGACAACTGGCTCCAAAACCTCGGAGATGTAGCGCTGGCTATTTAAAGTACCGGCAATGCGTACTAGAGGAGTGCGAGAGTGATATCCAATACCTCCCCATACCATAATACCCGGTGCAGGGCCAGTATGGCGGTGCATACCGCAGCTGTTCAGCATCCTCTCTCCACTTTGTCTCCAGACTCGAATCTGACCCTCGTAATGTTGCAGACAGATGCGTGACTCGTCAGTAAAGACAACTTCATTCCATTCTGCCACCCACATCCTTCTTTTATCGCACCATTGGCGACGGGACGTCTGTCTTTCTGCGTCAAGGGTAGATCAAGTAATGGACGCCTTGCGGACAGACCACTCTGCTGTAAACGGCATCGAATGGAACGCGCAGACACTGAATGATGCGTTACAGACTCAATGTGTTGTGCTATGGTTCGTGATGTGACTGAGCGATCCGTCACTGCCATGCGCACAATTTGCCTGTCCTCACGTGAAGTGGTGCACTGAGGTGGATGCGATCGAACACGTTGGTCCGTCGTACCCTCCTGCATCCAACGGTCACATATCCGCATTACAGTTGTTTGGTTTCGTCCAACACGACTACCGATTTCCCTGAAAGATAACCCACGATCTCGGTAGACTATTATCCTTCCTCTGTCGAACTCGGATAATTCCTCAAAAGCTGATCGCTGTTTCTTATGAAACATAACTGATCGTTTTTTGAAAAAACCACGAGAAAAAAACAATTGCCGAACTTGAAATCGTCGAAATCTCCAAGCCTTAAATAGCGCTTTGAGGTGGCGCCACAGGCGTGCGTGATGTGTGTCTGCGCTGAAATTCTAATCATTTGCATATCTCACCTCCGCTAATGCCTGTTGAAAATTTCATGTTATTTGCGTGCTTCCTTCAGGGTATTGCATTTACGGTGGCCAGAAGTGTATATTGATATGGATAAATTCACTTCTGAATTATATATATCAAAAAGCCTAGTACAATCTCTGGACACAGAAATCTCAGCTATATATATATATATATATATTTATATATATATATATTTTAATATTGTTGTTGTAGAAGCAATTTTTTATAAAAGAAAAAAGTTTTGGAAATATTTCTAGCATTTTTTCTTCAATTTTTGCCAAAAAATTACAATTTAAATGTTTTATTATGTTATAATGTTAAATGTTATAAATGTTATAAATGTTAAAATATTCTTAAAACAATTTTATATGTATATTCTAATTGAACTGACACACTAAATATCTAAAAAACTTTATTGACTTATGCGCTTCTTCAAAACTATGGCCCCGAATGTAGTCAGATATCTTAAATATTTATCAGCATAAAGGGTGGGAATATGAGGCGTAGGGTATAATTATTTAGAATGTTCAGTTTGTTAAGAAATGGAAAAAAATTTTATCATGTGTGCATAAAAATTCAAACAAGATATCAATCATTGGCATGGCCAAGTAATTTTAGCACGTTTTTCACATGTTGTATTTTACAATAATGAAACTAATGAACTTTTTACTAACAGAAAATAGAACTGTACTTCAAAAAAAAATTTTAATTTAAAAATTATTAAATTTAAATATGATTCAGCTCATCCAGGGCGCAAATGCGACCAAATACCGAAAACCAGAGGGCAATTGGTTGCTTATTGGCTGAGAAAAAGGTACGACAAAATATGGAACGAAGACGAAGACGAAATTTGAGTCCTAATAGCGCTTTTGTTCCACTACGTGAAAAATGCACTAAAAATAAATGAAGCTTGTACATCATACCTAATATTTTTTTTGGAAAAAAATCGTGCCTCTTCTGCTTTAGTATTTTATACTTTCTATCAACATTTCGTTGTTCTCTAAATCCATTTTTGTATATCCTTGGATATATTGAAAAATTCTTTTATATCAGAATCGCTTAAAGGTTATAAGATATGAAATTTTTTATAAAGAGCGCTTGACGTTCGTAAAATTTGGCTGCTTCCTGTAAACAAAATTGAGAAAGTTTCATTTTTTGAAAGAGCATGTACTTTCCTTTGCCTCTCTTCAAGCATTTTAAACAAGTAATATAAGAAAAGAATTTAAGCCAATTCCTACTTAGGTCAACAACAAAAATTCATTTTAGTTAATTTTTATTAAATAATTTCAATTACTACATATATATATATATATATATATATATATATACATATAAAAGAATCACAATATTAAGTGGCAAAATAGAAAAGGAATTTCCTTGCAAATTTCTATTTTTCTTTATATATGTGGTGTTAGACTATTATTTTTTTTTGCTACTATTTATTCATTAATTAAATTTAATTGTTCCAATAAAATAGTATGGTAAAAAGAAACCACATTCTCAGAAATTGGGACATTCCAGGTGGGATTCAAACCCATGACCTTTGGATTAGATATCCTTTGGGCTAGAGAGACACAAGGATTGATTTTACTTTCTATATATACTGTTGGATTATACTTTTGTTAGTTACTATTTATTAATTTTTTAATTTAATTAAGGAATTAATATTTGAAAAAAATGTGTTATATTATCCTATACAAATTTTTAAAAAATGTATTTGAATTTGAGTGGAAGAATAAAAAGTATTTTATTAACGATTGAAAATTTGTGTGAACAACATTTATATATATTGGGATAGTGTGTAAACTAATAGTAGGAATTGAAAAAAGGAAGATTCAGAATTAGCAATTTTCGAAACAGTCAACATATAATGTATCACGCACAGCTAGAGAAATAAACAAAAATAATTTTTACATAGAAATTAAAAGAATAAATATCCGATTGAAGCTACAATTTTTTTAAGTTACAATTAATATTAATCATACTATAATAAAAATTGGTTTTTCTAAAAAAACTGAAATTTTATAATGAATGCATTGAGTTTGTGATTGAAAAAATATTTTTTAACTGGAAAATTCAGATAAAATATCTATGAAGTGTTCAATATAGAAAATTGCTATTATTTAGAGAGAGAAAAATCATGATTAATCGAAATCTACTTATGTGGTAAAGTTTTTGTAGTATGAATGAAGATTAGGAGAAAAATATATAATTTTTTTAAAAAATTAATTTCAAAATTTATAATGTTGCAACAAAAATTTTGAGTTTTTGAAAGAATTTTTGTTTAGATGATTTTAAAATCAAAACAAGTTTCATTTTCTATAATATAAAAGACCAACAAATATCATAAAAAAAATTTAAGTCAATTAGATCAACAAAAAAAAATATTTTTTAGTTATTTTTTGTTAAATAATTACAATTAATATAAATAGGTACATACATATAACAGAATCACAACAATAAGTCGCAATTAATTTTTAACAATTATCTTTAAAGTATCGTATTGTCATTCCAAACAATCGTGCATTTAAAATTTCAGTTCAACTGAAAATTTGAAACGTGAGGGAAAAAAATCTGTTAAAGTTTTGACCCTAGTAGTTAAAAATGAAGCCACCATGGCTGTATCTGTAATTCTTTAAATAATTAATTTCAGTCAAATAATTATAATTAAATTATCTTATTGTTACCCAAAACAATAGTGTGTAGAAAATTTTAGCTCAAACGAGCGCTTTAAAATGTGAGAAATAAACCTTTTCAAGTTGTGACAAAAGTCGCCAAAAGGGTCGCTAAGTCTCCAACAATGATGTCAACGTGGCTGTATTTGTAATTCTTTGAATAATTGGTTTTAATCAATCAATTTTTGTTCATTATAATTAAATTACTGTATTGTCATCCAAATAATTGTGTATATAAAATTGCAGCTCAATTGAGTGATTT